GTTTCGTGGAAAGAATACAAGTAATTGGGTGGCATGATATAAGTGAGGAATGATCTGCTGAGGAAAGATCATGATCTTACATGCTGAATGCAACAAACTATAATGCAATGGATGCAATGGATGAAGTGAATAAGGTGCGCGGCCAAACCACATTTTGCCTAGAAAAGGCATAGACCCAAAACAGACCACGTCTAACACAGAAAAGGTGCCGACACCCTCAGACCACAATTCTCTTAGTGGAATAGGTGCGTACACATAATCACAGAACCATGCTTTAATGCAAAAAGTATGGGCACATGCCAGACTAAGCTTAACATGGAAAGGATGCAGACGATACAATGGATATGCAGTAAATTCATGCGATAGATGCTATGTACAATGTAATGTAATAGCTAAAATGCAATGTAGCTGGGAAGTAAAAGTACCTTGCAGGGGCAATTGGCAATGACTCACCTCATGCTGTTGGGGATCTTTCGCTTCTTCTTGGTTGAATCAAAGGTACTACTTTTCTACCTTGCAGGGGCAATTGGCAATGACTCACCTCATACACATGCTATCTCAATCTATGGGGCTACCATACAAATTTCAAGCTGGGGATACACCCCTGGGTATTTAAACCAGACTTTAGGCTTGGAAATCCTGAACCTTTGTGTTCTAGGCATGAGCCATTCGAACTCTAGTTTTCACCGTCTCAGTTGATCTCCTAGGAACTCACCGCAAACACAAGCAGGTGGCTATACCAGACCACCAGAAGTCGTTCGCGCACGACAAACACCAAAGGAATTGCACCTTCTGAGGATTTAAGGTCTCGTAGACCAGGGAGTGCACAAGACAGTGCGATACAATGCACTAACAAGTGCAGGTAAAATGCGCAAGATAGCGCGATGCAATGCTGTAGACACCCCATTTTTGACCGTCCTCAAGACTTGGACGTCATCGTTTGAACACTCGATGATCATCCATGCTCGTGTTCGTTTTGAGTTCCCGGAGGCCTCAGCCATGCGCCTTGCCTCAGGTTCTCTCAACTTGCCTATTTTGTGCTTGGTTGTGGACCAAACACTTGTATTTTTGCTTCTGAGGGAAGAGGGTGGTTTGTTTGCCATCCCTTCAACCCACCGGCCAAGGCTTGAGGCCACTGGCCCTTTTTTCCTCCATCGACCAGGGGTGTTGGCCGGCCGGCACTGTATTTGGCCAATCGGCCACCTTTGTTGGTCAATCGGCCATTTTTACTGGCCAAATCCTGTTCATCAGCTTTATGTAGACATTTTGTGCCAACTGGCACAGCTGGCACCCACTAGTGACCCCCTCCATACACGTGTATGGAGGGATTTGAGCCTTGCTTAGCTTCTCCAAAAAGCCTTGCAAATTTGGATTTCTATAAAAGGAGAGCCTCCTCTCCCTTTCCAGGGGCTAAGAAAATATGATATACAAGTTAGATATATCTCTCTCTCTATATCTCCCTCTCTCTAGATTTGTGTGAGTGTTTGAGCTTAAAAGTGTGTTTTGTTCTTACTATTGCACACAAACACATAGTACTACACTATCCATGGTTGCTGAGGCACTAGAAGATTGATTCTAGAGTTTTTGAGTTGGTTTTGATCAGAAGGAGGTGCTGGAGTGGTGTTCTTGAAGAGGTTCTTCAAGGGTGAGAAACTATCATCTTTATTCCCCATTCTTGTATAAGTTTTTAGCCTATCTTGCATATTGTTTTAAGCTTAGCTATAAACTATAAAAAGTTCTGATTTTGTATGCTTAAAGATGTTAGTTTGACGCCACTTTTTGGTTGGGGATTGTCTACCCCCTCTTAGGTCTTGTTTGGCCCTATTTTGTGCCTTTCTTCTTGAGCTTTGGAACCATCTCATTTTGACCTTCTTTTGAGGTCTTGAATAGGGGAGGGACACCCCCCCTCCCTTTGTGTCTCATTTGCTTGCATTGTTGGCTCACCATAGTAGCATGTTTGCTTAGCATGTTTTGGCTCCATTTCGGTGGGTATTTGGTGTTATTTTGTTATGCTACACCTCTGTTTTAGGTTGATTTAATGGCCCATTGCATGCATCACACACTTGCTTTGTAATCCTCTCATTTGCCTAAACATGTATCATGCATTTAGACCATCATGCTTCCATGTTTTGACTTAACTTTGAGAAGTTTTTAGCCTTGTTTCACCGTGCTTAAGCTCTGTTTGGTGTTGTCTTGGTCATGTTTCCCATGCTTTGTATAGCCACCATGTATTCTAGCTTGTTAGCTTTGGGTGTGTGAGTCATTAGCATGCTTTACTTGGGCCATTTCAGTGATTTGGCATCACTTGTCATGGTATTTCAGTCCATATTCCATGCTTGTATGCTTGCATTTGCCATCTTTTCAATGCTTTGAAGAGCTATTGTTTTGTGCCCTAAGATTGGGTCGTTGTGTATGTCTCCATGATTAGGTCTTTAGGATGCCATCTAAGTGGGTTTTGGGGCTCATTTTAGCATGCCATAACTATGTTTTTCATTGCATAATTGATGCCATGTTTGGTTGTGATAGGTGTAGTGTAATGCTCCCTTTGTAGCCTTGCATGCCCCTTATTTGTGCCCATCTTTTTTAGCATGTTTTAGTCTCATCCCATGCATGTTCTAGCTTTGTTTTGGCCTATCTTGGGACTGTTTTGGGTTACTTTGGCCCTTTGGGGCTTGGTTAATATGGTCATGGCTCAAGTCCCTAGGCTAGCCTTGAGCTTTAAGTCCATTAGCATGCCTTGCTTGTGTTATATGGTCGATTTGGCATCACTCTTAACATGATTTCAGAGATGATTGCATTGTCATATTCTCATGTTTATCATACCTTTCTCATGATTGATGATTGTGCATTGTTGCATAGTTTATGGGCCTATATGTGTGCATATGCATTTTTCCCTTTCGGTGCCTTAATTCTTTACTTTGGCCACTGATTTTGGCACGATTGAGGTCTGCACATTTTGGTTTAAGACCATTGTTGCATGTTTTTGCACGTTTGCTAGTTTGCATTTCGTCACATGCTTGATTAGGTTGCATTGCATTTGGCATGCTTGTTACCTTAGCCTTGTGTGCATGCCTGAGTCCTATTGCACTTGGCATACTTAAGTTGCATTGAGTCGGCATGCACACGTTTGTAGACTCCCCATTTTTGACCGTCCTCAAGACTTGGACGTTATTGTTTGAACACTCGATGATCATCCATGCTCGTGATCGTTTTGAGTTCTCGTGGGTCTCGGCTACGCACCTTGCCTCAAGATCTCTTAACTTATTTGTTTTGTGCTTGGTTGTGGACCAAGCACTTAGGTTTTTTCCTTTGAGGGCAGGGAATGGCTTGCTGGCCATCCCCACACCTCACCGGCCATGGCTCGAGGCCACCGGCCCTGTTTTCATGCTACCGGCCAAAGGTGGTGGCCGGTCTGCAATGTTTTTGGTTGGCCGGCCATTGTTTTGATCAATCGGGCACTTTTTCTGGCCGAGACCTTTTCTTGAGGAGGTTTGAACCTTTTGAACCCTTATTTTAGCTTCTTGAGGAAGCTTGAACCTTTTGAACCCTTGGTTTTAGCTTTTTGAGGAAGCTTGAACCTTTTGAACCTTTGTTTTAGCTTCTCCAAGAAGCTTGAACCTTTTTAGCTTCTCCAAGAAGCATTAACCCTTTTGCTCTAGCTTCTCCAAGAAGATTGACCCTTTGTTTTGGCTTCTTAGAGAAGCTTGAACCCTTTGCTTAGCTTCTTGAGGAAGCTTGACCCTTTTGCTCTAGCTTCCGCAAGAAGCTTGGCCCTTTTGCTACAAGCTTCTAAGAGAAGCTTGCCCCCTTTTCTCCAAGCTTCTCCAAGAAGCTTGGACCTTTGTTCCTCTATACAAGAAGAGCTCCTCTTCCATTGCAAGGGTACCAAAAATTTTGCTAAAGCAAACAATATACATCTCTCAATCTCTCTCTATTTTGAGCTCCAAATTGCTTGGTTCTTGGCCCCTTTGCACACCAACTCTTAGCCTAACATCTCCATCATCAACCTAAGCATCTTGGAGGCCATTTTTAGAGGCTAAGGGACTGGTTTTTGGTCCAAGAACCTGCTGGTTTCACAGCTGTGCATCATGGGTGAGAAACACCCTCTTTATTCCCTATTTTTGCATAGACTTTTAGCCTATCTTGCATGTTGTTTTGAGCTTAACTTATAACTGATAAATTTTTTTTTTTTGCATGCTTTTGAAGTTTGTTTAAGATCACTTTTGTGTTTGGGGTTGTTTACCCCCTCTTAGGCCTTGTTTAGCCTCATTTTTGTGCCTTTTTTGTGAGCTTCGGGACCACCTTATATTGGCCCTCTCACCACTGAAATCCAGAGGGATTTCAATGGTAGGGATGGTGTTTTAAGGTCCTAAGAAGGAGAGGGCCATCCCCTCTCCTTGTTGTCATGTTTATTGCCTTTTTTGGCTTTCCAAAGGAGCATGCCTCTCTATATTTTTGAGGTTTAGTTCAGACCATTTTTTGTGACTTCTAGGACCTTCCTTGGCCCTGTCCATGGCTGGTTTGATCATATTTTACATGCATCTTGTATATGTAGTGTAACTTTTCATTCGTAAGATTAATTTGTATCATCGTTCCTTTCTTTCTCACGCCTTTTCTTTTCTTTTTCTTTTTCTTTGCAAGAACCACTTTTCCAAGACTTGATTTTTTTTTTCAAGAACCAGACAGACTGACTTTCACTTTTATCGATTGATGTATGTAATTTGCAAATGAGATGGGTGTGTGTGTGTGCTAGTTCTGTGATCAATTCAAATTGTTTGAAGAACAGATTATGAAGGCTGCCTCTATTCAGTGACAGTTAACCAATCTGTTCATGACCTTAATGTATCTTCTATCACTTATTGTTGTGATAGTGGGTATGTTGAGAATGACAAGTATCGGCTTTGTGTCCAGAAGAATGCTTGCCACATTTATGAAATGCCTTGTTTGTTTGATCACCATCCTGAGTTTTACTTTTCTATTTACTTTAATTATTATGGTGAAAATCTATTCTAGGCTTTCCTTTGAAGTCAGTGGACCTTTTTCTTGGAAGTTTGGGCCCCAACAACTCGTCCTTCAGACCCATTCAGATAGGGAAAACACAAATTTCCACCTGTAAAAGGGCACTTACTGTTCAAGCTGGATACGGGTATAATTATACATGATTATGTTTTGTAAGTTACGTGCATCACATATGATTTCTGACCCTTTTTCTGGTTTTATTGAAGTGCGGAAAACTCTTATAATTCGGAATTCTAACTGACAGTCTCCTGCTTGCTGTGTAATTGTAGTAATGGAGGAAGGCCAGGACATGCAAGTACCTTTATTGGTGGCTTTGTTTTGGGAGGACTAGTTGTTGGCACACTCGGTTGTGTATTTGCACCTCAGGTCCTACTTGTTTACTTATGTTCTTGTCATTTCAAATAGTCCAATTGAATTTTTATGTATTTGTTGTTCTGTTATGAAGATGATTATTGGTTCCAATCGGTGCTCTTTGTGGGCTTTGAATCTTTTAACGATTCTTTTTGATAGCCACAGTTAATATGAACTCTTATGAATTTCTTCATTGGGCTGACAATATTTGTTGTTCTTCAGATCAGTAAGGCACTGGCTGGAGCTGATAAAAATGACTTAATGAAGAAATTGCCTAAATTTATATTTGATGAAGAAAAAGCTTTGGAGGTGAGCTTCTTTCCATCTTAATATCTTGTAAATACTAAAATTGGATTGTTATCACTAGGATCCATTCTGACACAAATAAACATGGCCATGTTGCTGAAATATGTATCATATGGAACTTAATAGGCCTTGCAGTCATTGGTTAGAATCAAACCTCGTGTTGTAGTTTGGTCAAGTAAAACCATGCTTTCCAGCCACTGAATGGTCCTGTTAATGTATGTTTTTGTGTTCCTTCTTCTACAACATGCTTATCTGTTAGCTCATTCGCAGAAAACACGCAAGGTACTGGAAGAGAAGATAGCACAGCTGAGCACTACTATAGATAATGTTTCTGCTTCGCTCCGATCAGAAGATGCCCCAAATGGAGCGGCTGTGGATGCAGATGAACTAGAAGCGGCCATATAAGAATGCTCATGTTTACTTTTTTGGTATCACTAGCTTCCACCTCTATTAATTGTCAGATTAAGAAATAGTACTTTAATTTGTTGTGTTTTTTCCTTCCTTCTTGACAGTTAATGTAGTGGTTTCTTTTTATGTGGCGGTTCTGTGCACGACTAAACAAAACATTGCTCAACATCTGGGCTGATTTATGTATTAGCTGATATTCCATCTTGGTGTTTGAGATTTGTTTCTCCTGGCCAAGTATTTGCAGCTGAAAGAGACATTGAACATTATTATTGTCAATTGGTCCATACATTTTCCAGCTTTGTACTCCAAGTTCTGTTGCTAGAAGAGCTATTCTTCTAAATCACACCTTTGCAGTTGCAGGAAGCTTCACGATCACTCATATCCATTGTTGATTATTGGAAATTTAAGTTGGTAGATTGGTGGTCCGTTGCAATATGTTCGGTTGATTTATGGTTGTTGACCTCCCACAGTGGGAACTATTGTTAAGCGGTTTCAATGAGTAGCAAGCTTACCTTTCTTTATCTATTTTCAATTTAAATCAAAATAAAATCAATGTAAGATTTTCGATTTTTGAGATTGAATCTTTCATTCTGCATTTCATTGCAGCCGGTTCATGTACAACCTTAATTATCGGAGCCTTTAGTTGAGGAAGATGTTTTTTAGTTGGATTATATGCAACGAGTTTATTTATTTATTTATTTATTTTGTGGATATTTGAACAAGAAATAATTTTTTAAACCATACTGTGTTGGAGCTTTTTAAACAAGAGTTATTTATTTATTTATTTATTTTAACAATAATTTTTTTTTCTGGACTTCTAAATAAAGATATTTTTTAGATATTGAACAAAGAGAATTGAAGTCAGGCCATTTAAAATCGGGGCCTTAAAGTGAGCTTAAGCGGGCCCCGTATATTATTCAAATCTTGACATTGTATATATATATATTACGTACAATCGTTAGGAAGGAAATGGGGAAAGGGGAAGATTGCATCGCGTAATGGTAAGATTTGAAATTGAAAACATCAGGAATGAAAAAGGGGAAGAAAAAGTTGCATCGCTTGGCTGTAAGATTCAGACACAGATATCACATTCTAGCCTGACATTATTTGAGTGAGCATGACTGACCGGGGTTTGTAAGTTTGTATCCTTGACCTTAGTTGCTGCCTGGACAGATACATGCAGAATATGATTTTCCAATCACGGTCTTCCCCATAATTTCCTCTTAAGGTGAAAAGACAGATATTCTTCTCAGGAATGTTCTCCACCATCCAACAGCTTTTGCTTATGAGCTACCTCTATATATCCAAAACAATTGTGGTAATTAAGCAAGTCTGTCATTTTAAAGAAGATGGAAGGGCATACAAGGAACAAGGGGACGAGTGAACTATATGCATCTGTGGTTGAGATTTTGAAAATGAAGCCAAAACATGATCTTATCCCATAATCTCTCTTGTACCATTCTCACCCACACATTCCTTTTACTTCTTTTTTATTCAAAATTTTTGATGACCCAACATGCATGAGATATAACTGAAAAGAAAAAAAATTGGAGTCCAAACTGTATATCTGTAGTGAGGAAGTTATCCTCACAGTTTTAGTTGCAGCAGCCATGGCCACCCATGCAGCTCTGGCTTCTTCAAGAATCCCAGCTAACACTGGACTACTTCCCTCTAAGACCTCTCACTCCTTCCCCGCTCAATGCCTTTCTAAGGTCTCTCTCTCTCTCTCTCTCTCTCAAACAGTTTTTGTTGCTTTCCACTTTCTTATTTCTTTTTTGGGCGAACAGAGACTAGAAGTAGCAGAGTTCTCTGGGCTTCGATCTGGTGGATGTGTGACTTACGCCAAGAATGCTAGGGAGGCCTCATTCTTTGATGTGGTGGCTTCACAAGTTACCACCAAGGTAATCTTCTAATCCTTCTTTAATAATTTGTTCCACCTGAATTGGTTTTCTTGGCTAATCTATTGTAGTTCTGATGTTTTGTCACATACTTTTCTCACAACATTTTCAATGTTCAACTAGCAAGGAAGTTGTCGGATCCATATCTTTACTTTACTACACTTTTTCTTGGAACAACTTTCTCATACAAAATTCCTGGTAATTGAACAGAGCATTGATTGGAAAATAAGTAGAAACTAATTTGGGTAGATTGATCTTTCCAATGTTCAGAAATTAAATTTGGCAAATTGTCATGGAGTATGAGGAAATCCAACGAATGTGAGGGAATTCAGATGAATCTAACAACAAAAGGAAAGTACCATATGTCAAGATTAGACACATGAATACCTTATTCAGACTTAATTGAACAAGGGACTATGATGTTATGAGTTTTGTTGACCTTACATGCTTATAAAGTGAGTAAAGAACACAAGAGGTTGGTTGGATATTCCTTGCTCTAATTTAGCAGTGAGAGGTTGATTTTGTAATTTTCATATTAGACTGCAGGATCAGCCCCTGTTAAGGGAGAAGCAGTGGCCAAATTGAAGGTGGCGATTAACGGTTTTGGACGCATTGGCAGGAACTTCCTCAGGTGCTGGCATGGCCGCAAGAACTTGCCAATCGATGTTGTTGTGGTTAACGATAGCGGCGGTGTGAAGAACGCGAGTGGCTTCATGATATTTTGGAACATTAAGTCAGTAGTTGAAATTATTATTATTTTTTATTTATTTTTTACTAACTAATTTGCATTGCAAATATAGGCTTCTCACTTGCTGAAATACGATTCGATGCTTGGCATTTTCAAGGCAGAAGTGAAAACAGTAGACAATGAGACCATCAGTGTCGATGGTAAGCCCATCAAAGTTGTCTCTAACAGGGACCCTCTGAAGCTCCCTTGGGCTGAGCTAGGCATTGACATTGTGATTGAGGTATATAACACCTAATTATCAATTCTCAGGTTCCAAAACAGTCCTTTAAAGCTAATTAAATCATGCGAAGCGAACTACAGGGAACTGGTGTGTTTGTGGATGGTCCCGGGGCTGGGAAGCACATCCAAGCTGGTGCCAAGAAAGTTATTATCACTGCTCCAGCAAAAGGTGCTGACATTCCCACCTATGTCGTTGGAGTAAATGAAGGAGACTACGACCATGATGTTGCTAACATTGTAAGGTTAGTAATTTGCTAAATTCTAAACAAGAAAAAACTATTCATTGAAGTTAGTGGCATTACTTCTGTATATGCTTTGGTTTTAAAACAAACTTGATTGGAAATTTGATAATTGCAGCAACGCGTCTTGCACGACAAACTGCTTGGCTCCTTTTGCAAAAGTCATGGATGAAGAACTTGGTAAGCATCCATTTTGTTCACAGTTTCAATAATCGGTTTTAGATTTTGTGCCTCAATTGTGATTAATATTGTTGCCCAAAGTAACATCTTCCTGGTTCGATTTGCAGGTATTGTCAAGGGAACCATGACCACCACTCATTCCTATACGGGTGATCAGGTAATCACGCATACATGTAAAAAGGGTAAAATTTTAAAAATCCACTATGTTAATAGTAATTATGTTATTGATTGTATTGTGTGTAGAGACTCTAAGATGCCTCACACCGGGACTTGAGGAGAGCCAGAGCTGCAGCACTTAACATAGTCCCAACGAGCACAGGTGCAGCCAAGGCAGTGTCTCTGGTGCTACCACAGCTCAAGGGCAAGCTCAATGGTATCGCTCTGCGTGTGCCCACACCTAATGTATCTGTTGTTGACTTAGTTGTGAATGTCGAGAAAAAGGGAATTTCTGCTGAAGATGTCAATGCAGCCTTTAGAAAGGCAGCAGACGGGCCATTGAAAGGTATATTGGCAGTGTGTGATGCCCCTCTTGTGTCGGTGGACTTCAGGTGCAGTGATGTTTCGACCACCATTGATTCGTCCTTGACAATGGTCATGGGAGATGACATGGTCAAGGTGGTGGCCTGGTATGACAATGAATGGGGATACAGGTCTGGATTATATAAACACTGGACTTGCTAGCCACTTGTTCAAAATATTCATTGGCTTGAAATTGCAGGAATTGAAAATTCTATTAAGCTGTGTTTGGATTATGAATTTGGAGAAGGATTTTTGCAATCTTATCATTACCACCCACCTCCACCATCGCACCGCCACCGCCACTGCCACCGCCACTGCCACTGCCACCACCACCCTACCACTGCTCCCATCACCATCACCACCACCTCCATGTCCTCCACCACCACCACCGTGCCACCTCCACCTCCACCTCCACCTCCATCACATCACACTAATAATACAACCGCTAGCACATTAGTTTCAAGATAGCAACCAAACATACAAAAATGTTTTTTGTGGAACAACATTTCTGAAAAATTTCTCCATAGAAAATGTTTTATGCCGAATCAAAACAGAGTAATTTCTGTTGAGTTTAGAATGTAATTGTATTGTAATGGCTGTGTTTTGTGTCTTTTGTAGCCAACGGGTTGTAGATTTGGCACATCTGGTAGCAAGCAAGTGGCCAGGCATGCCTGTACAAGGAAGTGGAGACCCATTGGAGGATTTTTGCAAAACCAACCCTGCTGATGAGGAGTGCAAGGTGTACGAAGCTTAAACTGTTTGCATTTTTCTTTTTTGTTCAAGGCTTGCGAAAAGTAATTTCGTTAGGAGCCAAGAATTTTCTTGCATCACTTTCACTAAATGCTTGTTTTGTGATCATGAACAATAATTTTAATTAACGGTGTGCCTTGTAGTTTTGAATACCATTGGAATCTTTTATTTATTTATTTTTGTGTCTGCGAAAACCATGAATGCTAAGTCCTTGCCCCGTTCTTGGAGTAATTTCACTGATTTTGTCTTGAACCCAGATAATAGATAATTATGTTCTCAACTTGGCAACATGGCTCTCTATGTCTTGACAAAGGAAACAAATCTCTCAATCCATATTTGAATTCCTAATGAACTGGTTTTAGTTCAGCAGATTAAACCACAGGCTAATATGAGGGGATGTAAGAAAAATCAAAAAAACTGATCAAACCGGTTGAATCAAGCCGAACTAGCTATTTGATCGGTTTTTTAATATGAATCGGTCTATGTGACTTTTAAAATTAATATTTTTTGATTTTTAATTCGGTACCGGTTTAGGCATTTTGTGTACTAAATTAAACTGAAATTGATTGAAAGTTTTTCATATTAAACATAATATATATTAAAGCCTCGTTTGAGAATAGACTATTTTAGTAATTTTTTGATTTTTTACGAAAAGATGTACAAAAAAGTAGAGAGAATAATGTGACAACTTATAGTGACTTTTTGACTGTTTGGCTAAAATGTATGGTTGACAAATGAGGCC